ATTAATCATTTGCTTTCGACCATATACACAGATTGGAGGATCTGGCCGCACAGTAACTGGTCTACATATTTTCCAGTCTTTAGGGATAGCCGCAATGAGACCCTGCCATCTTAGAAACTGAATGCGGTTTAAACCCAATGAATTTAAGTCATTCCAATTTTTAACCGTACCCTCCTCATTAAAGATGTCATCTATATAAACAATTCCTAGATCCTGTAAATCTGAATAAAATATACTTTTAGTTTGAATAAGAATGTTTTTATTATTCCATATAATCTCGTATGCAGGGGAAATATACTCATACTGTATAACATTACTCCATACATTTAGCATTTCCCAATAAAATGGTGGTAATTTAATATGTAGTGCGTTTATTGAGAGGTTACATCTAAAAATTAATTTTCCCCCAAGTGGTTTTAAATAAAGATCTAGGAACCGTTTCCATGGATGACAATATGATGACAAATACCTTATCAATAACGTTAATTTTAAAAGCTTTCTGCATAGCACAAATATCCAACATCCCTAACCCACCATGGCCTATGTCACCTATCATAGTATTACGCGCTACTCTATCTCGACCCCCCCCCCCAAATAAAGGAGAATATTTTTGAGTTAATCTTTTTGACATCAGATTGATTAATATTAATCAGATTTAACATATAAAGAAATTTGGGTATAACAACAGATTTAATAATTTGTATTTTATTGGTGTGAGGTTTCGCATATTCCAGAAGTTTAAAACTTTTTCAAGACTTTTAGTAGGAGCAATTAAGTTTTTCTGATATGCAGCTATAGAGTTGTAAGAAAAGTATACACCCACAATTTTGATAGGTGACATAGGCCATTTTACCCCAAGCGGGGTATCTTTCCGTTGCCTCCAATTTCCTAGCCACATAAAACAGGTGAGGTCATCAGCATACGCAGAATGTTTTATTTCAAAAGCACCAATATTAATCCCCCTGATTCCATTGTCATATTGCAGCTTTATCAAAAGTATTTCTAAAGACAGAATGAACAAAATTGGTGATAGGGGATCCCCCTGTCTGACTCCCCTAGAGAGGGAAAAATACCCTGTTGACTGCCCTCTATTCATAGAACAACTAGATGGATTTAAATAAAAGGCCTGTACCCAACCTAACAAAGAGGGGCCAAAGTTGAATTTACGTAGACAACTGAATATGAAATCCCATTCAAGACTATCAAAGGCTTTTTGGAAATCTATAGCTAAGAGCACCACATTTGTTCCATAATCTTTTGTGTATTCCATAATTCCCCCAATGACACGAACACAGTCACCAATTGACCTATTCTTAATAAATGCTGTTTGACCTTCATTGATTAAATTATCCAGAGTATGTTCCAGGCGTTTAGCAATGCATCTAGCAGCAATCTTATAATCAACATTAAGTAATGTTATTGGCCTCCAATTACATATATGCCTTTTATCTTTGCCTGCCTTTTCTTTAAGTGTAATTACCCCCTGTGACTGACTGTTAGACATATTCCCTTTAATTGTTGCAAAATTTAGTGATTTAATTACATAGGGTCCTAATAAGGGCCAAAAAGCTAGATAAAATTCTGCAGTCAGACCATCATTGCCTGGAGTTTTATTTTTGTTCATGCAATTTAATGCATCACAATTTCAAATCGCGAGTAAAGAACCAATCATAATTACAATAACATTTCCAAAAACTTGACCAATTTAATCGACACGTTCCCAATACCTACTAATCATATCTTTTTTTTTTCATGAACCCATAATTTAATCTAATTTGTTAGTGTGACCAACCGTAAATTTAAACTGTTTTCTTAATGACGTATACATGACTAGCTCGTTTGTTTTTTGTACGACAATAATTATTTCCACATTCCAGAAAAGACTCACGTGACTGGAAAGGTATTACTAGTATATATGAGTTTATAATGTATAGCACTTTTGACTTGATGTTCATCTATAAACGCCCTCTAGTGATCGCAATTTACCCATCGGAAACTGCTTGCAAGTACTTAAAGACTGCGATAATGACGTCCACGTTGGTGGTAAAATAACACAAGGTTGTGGTGGAAGATGGACGCGTGAAACGATTATACATTAAATCGGTTAAATTGAGGTTCAAGCAGCGCTCACATTTGATACAAACTTCTGAATCACGCGGAATGTCAAGGCGGTTTTCGCTTCCACTGTATGTGAATCATAACTGGTTACCTTGCATTTTGTACTGCTATATAATGACTTGAAACAACGTATACTGTATGTGTCAGGGAGCAATGCCCCATTTGATATGCACGCGCCGCTGAATTTTTGTTTTCTTATTTCCTTCCAATATGACCAAGACTATGGGGGTGATCAATGAAGTACAACTTCCGAAACAAATTACACATAGTAAACTGTCTACGCATGCGTGGAAGTACAGGAATGTGATGAGATCCGGAATTGAACTGTTGAATTAGTCGCCATATATGGGACTGCCAGGGCCTTCATTCAACAGGGCAGTGAAGGTTGGGGGATTTTAAACTTGGCGCCTGGTCCAGAGGATAGACGAGTAATGATATAATAATTTAATATACATAGATAACGTAGTGATTTTACCAAAACTAAAGAAGAAAGGTTTTAAAAATAACTCAAATTCCCATATAATATTATACAATCACAGGCTAACGTGAATGAAATGTGTTCTCATCATGTAAGATGTTGGCCCATACAGGCAAAAAAACTGGCTACTAGTATGTCTGAGAAAGAATCATTTAAAATATGACATGATGTAAAATACTTTATTTTAGCTGGAATTAATCTTCACTGAAAACAAAATTGTGTGTGTTTTTTATTTTCATTGATATTTGTTGGGTTGAGTGTAAAATATAGGGGGGAAACTAAATTCCCTGGATTTTATTTTCCCAGAATCATCCTTTCAGCCAAAATAAATTAAGCGAAAGTGAAAGTAGTAATTTACAGTACTGAGTACTCAGAGAAAGCGTGTTAGTATTTGTGTAATCTATTAAATGATTGCTACAGTTCAATAATCCAAACGTCGATTATTCGATCTGCACTATTTACTTCTTTTAAATTCACTCGTTTTTATATTTCGTTACAAAAACAGTGCTATTCAATATCTTGTGAATACCTCCAGATTGATACCACTAAATCCTGTGTGCAATAGCGATCAACTTAACACCGTGAAGTAATTTCACGATTGATAGTCAATAGTAGTTCAGTATGTTTAATAACTATTTTGTTTATTTCTATTTTGATCGCATATTGTTTTATAGTTTTAGTGATGATAAATAAGACGTAACACCTAAGTCAACTACCGTCACTTGTGTTCTTCGTCGCTTAATGTGTGTCAATCTCGGATAGTTGTGGATAGTCCCAAAATGAACAAATATTTCTTACTCGTGATATTAACAGACCAATCATATATATACTATAACAAGATTGGTGAAACTATGCAAAGTTATTTTTACGGCATGTTCTCGTTATTTGAAGTAAATTTCATGTTGGGAAAAAATATAATGTGTAAACTATAACGATATGAACATCATGATTATGATTATTTTTTATTGTTTTTTTTTTCAATATTATTGGAAATTGAATCTATTTTATTGACCATGGCGAGTACATGGGTTGCTACCAGTGATAGGCATGGTCTATGATCAATCAAGTCGTGGGCGAAGTATTTGACTTTTACAGTATGGCTTAAAATAAAAATGAATATAACTAGCACTTTTCACACAAAACGCGTGCCAAGAAATCAATGAAAATTGTGATTTTTGAGCCATTTGAAATCGGTTCCGATAATAAAAATGTCTATACATTTCTGAAAATATCGTTCGTTTAAAAATTATATGTTCCTTATAAAATATGTACTTATCATTTATTGAATTATTATGAAATTAGTTTATGATAATACTTCAACATGGATTGCTATAGAAAATGATTGTTTCAACAATGTCCATTTTTACATTTTTTTGGCAGTTTCTCTTCATAACAAATAGTTCGTGCTTGATAAACAACGAAAAGGCGATGACGTGTGTTGATATAAAATATGTCACATTTTAAAAACACAACAATATGATAGATATTTCACTCATATTCATCAGGTTGAACCCGCGAACGACTTTAAATAAATTGTGAATTAATAATCGTAATGTTATAGGGTACACCCTGAGAATGTTTTTTTTTTTTTTTTTTCGCGCAGAAACAAATGCCAGAAAGAATTCTAAACAAACACAAATTTCACCTACGCCATCGACACGAAAGGTAAGCCTAGCTCACAGAAGAAAAACGTATTTTTGAGTTTATCTCTACGCTCAGAGTGTTTAGTAGCCAACATTGTATATTTACATGAATTCATATAATTAAAAAACAACAGAAATACACAGCTTACATTGAAAAGTTAACAAGTTTTACTCATATGCAATGAGTTATGCGTCATTTAAAACCCGACATACACCTGATGAAACCACCGGAAGTGACCTTCCGATGTGACCTCAGAGTCACCGTGTTTCAAATTTAAAACAACGAAACCGGAAAAGAAAATTAATTGACTATATAAATTCCCTCTGTCGCCTTAAATTCCGACGAACGCTTCGCATGGAAACAGTTATTATGGTGGTGTGAACAGATTAACAGGAACCCGACTGGACAGATCATCAAAAATCTTGCTGACCAAGATAGCTATTCTCCTTACTTGCTTTGAAATCACGTGACTGTCATCCAGTGGCGGGGTCGTACACAGTGAAATCAGTTGGTTTCCACCGTGGAGGCCTCTCGAAAATTGCACCAAAGTTTTTAGCAAGCGTTCGTCCCTTCCTTCGCGTGCCGTAACCGTCGGAATAGGAACCACAGCCATGGACTACAACATGATGGAGCCAGACGTTGACTGGGATGAGTATATGACTCAAGAGGATGAGTGGGACCGAGATAGTTTATTAGATCCAGCTTGGGAGAGACAGCAAAAGAAGGTACTAGTAAAACCTTGCCATCTGATGGGGGGAGATCTACTGCATACGCCAAATAACATCATGTTCTCAGCCATGACATGTACACATATGTCTTCTAGGCCTGCCAGCGATGAACGATTTCGTATGCCGGAACCATGCATTTGATTTTAACTTTGATTTTGGGGGTTTTCGTCGATCGAAGCTTGATGTCATCAGGTGGGCGAGCGTAGAGTTAACCTGACCCCCATCTTGCCACCCATCCCTCCCGAGCCTATGGACGGGTCAGAGATCATTCCCCCTGGAATATTAAAGTACCTCTTCGACTATCTATTTTATTCGTCGCTATGTCAAACATGTGTCACAGTTGTCATCCCTGTATACCGAGCGGCCCCCTCTCTTTTAGATCCATTTTGCGCTAGAATACTCCTCTCTTCAACGTATTTTCTTAACTTGAGTATAATCGAAATATGCAGTAAAAGTGAAAATATCATTTTCTGTCATTCGAAATGTTGAATTCGTCGCATTATTTGTAATTTGTAAACATTTTATCTGATGACATTTCGCCTGAATCTTGGGGGGGGGGGTCGTTGGGAACCAACTTTGTTTTTGAGTATCAGTAAAATCAGTGAACTGTGCCCAAATAGTAATCCTGCTGGCAAATGCCTTGTTGAAATTGTAACCTATATTGGAATTTGTCTTAATTTAGCATTGTGGCCTAGGGAAGCATGGTCTAATAAAGTAAAATATGCAACTCGACCTTAACAGCAAACCCCTGTGACTAATCAGCAGTAACCACAGAATGGTTGACAGTCTAATAGGATGAGTCATTTTAGCGTACAACGCATTGTAATCATTAAATAAACCATAATTTCTCACAGGTGGCACATTGTTTAGGCAAAACTTGGTTCACTGTGGGGGAAAAAAATAATGGTGTTATAATTTGCCTTTTTATGATATTAAGTAATGGATGATCTTCCTGCATTTGTAGCATTACATCTCCAGTATCTGGTTTCTACTAGCATATGGCTAGTCTGTATTAGACAGATCTCCTGCCTGAATTTGAAAGTGTTTTTAGTGTCTAGTACTGTTAAAACTACAGTAAGCAGGCACTGACATGTTTAAATCACCATTAATTTGCATTTGGGGTACAGAAGAGAAAGTTGAGAACTTAATAATAACAATAGCTTATGTTACATAATATTGAGTTGAAAGTTAACACTGTGGAATGAGGATTCTGGAAGGCTCCCTGCAAGGAAGAATATCTTATACTTGCATTATGTAAATGCAAAAATAATAATCAACCTCTGTGTTAGCTAAAAAGTTCATTGAATTATCACATTCCACGCTTTAGCTAACTAGTCGCCTATAGCAAATTAATTCCTGTTTTTGTCTCCAATAAATTATGTCACCAATTTAATGAGTTATTTTGAGAAAATGGCCATCATTTTAAAAAACACATCGTAAATCAAACAAAACATCCAGTAACATATTATATCTCTATATCTTGGTGGTGTATTTACAATTTTTACATGCATCTGACAAATATTTGTCGTCTAATGCTATATTTGTCTCTGTGTCTTAATATTAGCCACTGTTTATGAAGCTGTTTTATTCTTAGTGGAAGCTGGAGGTATTCTTATTCGTTAGACCAGCAGTCCAGATGGTTATTCTTTTTCTAAACCTTATTATTAAAATACATGTATATCCTTCAATTTCCTGAAATTTTCAATCATCACCATTTTGTTTGAGCTGTTTTTATTATGGAAATTCTTAAAATAACTGTGTTGTGTGCTTTACTGGTTACACGCCATGATAAATATGCTCACCCCTGCTTGTAAACCTAGAAGCCTTTCCTGTTGTATATCCAGAAATTAATCAAGATGAATTGCTACTAATTAGCCATTCACTAATTAGGTTCAAATGAAGGTAGCTTTGTATATAAAAAAAGTAATTTTATATATGTAGTCCTTGCAACAGAATAATTAAATGCCATTTGATACATGCTGTAGCAGTAATTGTGTGCTTTGTGACTATTTTCAGTCCATATCAGCTGTCACTACTTTAGATCACCTAACTAAAAGCATGCCTTATCTGGTATTTAAGTTGGTGTCATCTGAAATATCCTTCACCACAGTGAGTAGCCTGGGTGTAGAGAACATGTCTAGATATGTGGATGGTTGTTGCACTTCCTGTATTTTTGACATGCCTCCAGAAGAGAAGCTCCCAGCTTGTGAACATTTAGTAGAGGGCCCATCCTAATATCTTTGATATGTATATCAGTCTCATTGATGTAAGAATCATAACTGACTTGCAGTCTACAGTACATGTACATGCTTGCTAGAATATAGGTCTTATATTTTTGTTCTACTGGTTCTCAGATATCAGCACATTCCGTCAAAATACTATAGGCAGTACTTTTCTAAGTAACTAAAGTTCAGTGATAGTTTTAAAAAGAGAATATTGATTTACCAAATGTCACACTAGTATTCCTTGTACAATTAAATTGGGAATGTACTTATTGCAGTCAATAATGGATTAGCCATTGATTCTTTTGTTGAGTATTAGCACCATGTGCTATTATTACTAGGGATGTATTGTAATAAGTAAAATGTTGGAATAATGCTACATTGTACCACAGGGTAAACAAGGACAATGATTGCCAGTGGATATTATAATGAGACTTGTCATGTCATAATGTTGATCAGTGAACATCCTTGTTGAGTTAGTTTCCAGGCATTGTCATAATTAAAGCTTCATTTTTGTTAATGACTTTGTATAAGTAGTGGCGTTAGTGGCAGTTATTGGTCTTCCGAAACACACTCCATCCACTTGTCCAATCATGGCACTCAATTTTACAGTTCAACTTTAGATTAGCCCAGGTCAAGGGAAATTGTCAAAATTGTGACAATCTCTCATGACCTTGCGTTAAAGATTGTATTTCCATGCTGGTATTTACAAACTGTTTTAAATGGCATACGAGTGGGAGTTTTCAAGTTCATTTAAAAAAAATAATGTAGATTTTACTGTAAAACTATCAGACATTTTCAGTTGTTTACAATAGGGAATTCAGTGGAAGTCCTGACATTTTTTCTGCGTACTCTGATTAACCAAATATTTTTTTTGCAAAGTCAAAAAAATGTTGGTAACAAAACAAAAAAACAGATTTTTGTTAGTAAAATTAGCTTGTTTCTACAAATACCACCTCCCACTAATTTGAAAGTATTGTTTGGTAAATAAAAAAAAATGCTACTTTTAACAAATGTTATATTCGAAAAATTATCCTCCAGGAAATTGTTTATGAGAAGAAAACAAAATTTGAATATTGTTTTCACATGTTCAATTCTATCCGAATGCTGTTTAAAGTGTTGTATTTGTCCAACATTTCATTTATTGAACTGCTCATTTAAACCACAAATGAACAACCTGTGTATGAACAAATATTTTGATTTGTTGTTCAGCTGGTTATGAGTGATAATGAGATTACGTATTATTGAATAATGAAATGAAAATATTACCATTTAATTCATGCATATATAATATATATGTAACTTATATTCATGCATATATAATGTAACTTATTCAGATTCCGTACTGGCCAGATACTCCACCTAACTGACTGCCCTTTACACATTTGAAAATAGTTGGATATTTCAATTAGTCTGTATAACATTTGAACAGTTTTAAGTGACATATCTCTCCTGAATTTGTAGTCTTGATATCCTACAATATATCTATATGTGCAGCTTTTCATGAGATCGGTAACTGGCCAAATTGTCTGGCTACTTCGTTGAGGTGCAACTTGCTTCATTCTGGAAAAACTATGATATTAGGTAATGGGTGACCCTGCCCCATGTGTAGCATTACATCTCCAGTATCTGGTTTCTACTAGCATATGGCTAGTCTGTATTAAGACAGATCTCCTGTCTGAATTTGAATGTGTTTTCAGTGTCTAGTACTGTTAATACAGTAAGCAGGTATTAAAATTGAAGTGAATTTTTTCTTCACAAACCAGTAAGTTTAAAACTGGTCTGTAAGATCAGTAAGATATTTTTTTTCTACATTATGTCAGTTAGCTCTTTACTTGTTGACTGTATAGACACCTCGAGTATGAAAGGATCTTTTTGGCTTTCAAATAAAGTTAAACATGGCAGACCTTCTCACCCCACCATACCAGTCATTGTTTGTTGAGATATAGGTAGTATAAGTAAACATGTTGTAAACTCTGTGAAAGGGATGTCAGTGTTTGCCAGGTTGGGTTTTGTTCAGCACAATAAAGTACTTATAAATAACACTGTACTGCTGTGACCTGGCATTAATTAACCACTAACTACTGCATGGTGGTTGACCATAGCAATGCTGTCAATTATGAATATGTTAATTGAATATATGTTTATGTTATATGAATATATGTTTATGTTATGTCTATTCTAATTAAGTAATTGTGTAATCTTATAGCTATAAGTTAATTCTTAGCCAGTATGTTTGACCATGGAGGTAATAAGGTTTGACCTTTGATGAATGGCGAGAGCATGGAATGTTTTCAAATCCATATTAACCTGTGTAATCTGATTGTCTTAATTCTTACCTTACCAAATTTATATTTCTCATACACAAAATATGATACTAAGAAATGTCAAAATTGTAAAAAGTGTCACAGATTTTGGCGACAAAAAGCTAGCTAGAAAACCGATGCAGAATAGCATAAATTCTGCTTTATTGGCACAAGTTAGACAGGCGGTATTGTAGGTTGCCCTCTGATCCTAGTGGGTCTTGTCTGTGGGTTATTAGATCACCCTTTTGCAAAGGATTGTTGAAAAACCTTTTCAAACGGTTTACAGTACTGATTTGCCCCTTGCTGAAAATATAATGATGCATTTTAGTTGGTTTGCCTAGTTTGTGGGAAGCACCGTAAATACCGCAAAGAATCTACTGGGCAAGTGAACCTTTGTCAATATTATTGCATCAAGTGATTTTGTCAATCTGGCAAAATGTGCTTTTGAGATCAGGCAAGTCTGTATTAT